CGGCAGGATTGCATCACGTATGGTGGGTAGCAGGACCGGACCCCGCCCACGAGGGGCGGGGTTTGTGTGAAAAGCTTGAACTTGGACCTAGAACGCTCATGTTTGGTAGGAGTACAGGCGGCAGGATGAGAACACTTACGGTGGGTAGCAGGACCGGACCCCGCCCACAGTGGGCGGGGTTTGGACGAAAACTCATAAAACTCATAACTCCTTCAGGGAGCGGGGCTTGCTGAGAATTGTCAAAATGGTCCTAGAGCGATCAAGCTCGGTAGGAATACAGGAGGCAGGATAGGAACACTGATGATAGGTTGCAAGACTAAACTCCGCCCCAAAGGGCTGGGCGTGAATGAATACTGTCAGTTCGGACCCAGACTGCTGAAACTTGAAGGCACAAGGAGTTGACTGAGAACATTGATGGTAGCTAACATAGTAAATTCAGCCGTCATGAAGTCTCCGAATATTTTTATTTCTGAATAATCGCCTGTGATATTATGCGATGTTCTATTCGGACACAGCGAAGATGGCTTTCTCACAGGAAGGAGGAGCGCCCGGCGTAGCCGGGCTAACCCATAAGAAGGAGGGAAGCCCGGCGCTAGCCGGGCGGCCCGACTGGTGCAGCTATGACGAGCATAAAGTGAACCACAACTATTACGGCAGACAGGGATACCCCGAACTGTATACTAGAGTTGGCAGCCACGAGCTTCACGTTCTTCCACTGTTTACGTAGAATCCAGCTTTCAATGAAATGTTTTTAAACTGATAAAATTCATGATCATCTTTGATAATGAAGAGACCGGGTAAACTGTTTTGGTATTGCCATAGATGTGGCCCGGTCGCACGGTTTATACGAGCTGTACCCTGGTGTCTTTGTGCATATATGACGAAGTGCAATCTGTGTAAAAGTGATATCGTCTTCACCTTTATCGGCCTTTCAGGTGAGATCGAATCAAGAAAGATCTTGTTGGCTTAGTTAGACCAAAAAAAGTCAATTTTAGCAGATCACCAACAGACTGCTACCGATGTAGCTTTCTGTACGATTTCATACCGTATACTTCTCACCAAGATACAGTTGGGCCTGCAGATACAGTTGGGCCCTCTTACTTCGTGCACTCTCTACTCAGAGGTTCATGCCGTTCTTCTCAGTCCACACATCTCCCTCGCTCCGCTATGGGCGAGAAATGAGAGTCGGGAAGGTGAGTAACAGAGTGATTCAGCATAGCCTTTCAACGCTGTGCTTATCCAGGTGACTACCCATTGATTCCATGATGAAAATCCAATTTGAGAATTCCAGCGAGAGGTAGTTCACTGGCGTCAGATGCGTCTAACAGCTGCAACTCATCGTCAATCTTTTGTATCGTCGGAGTCTAAGGCTCCTGAACTGGCCACTGGGTGGTAAAGGTACAGATTCTCGGAAGGTTCTGCACCAGTCGAATGATGTGCTCTTTGCACTTAATCATTGGGGATGATCCACTGGACTGCATAAGCTTGTAACAGGAACGATGTAACAGTAACGAACGATGGGGACGATTCCTGCGTAGAACGACACAAGGCAGTCGAGTACACTGAAACTTCTTCAAGAAAGCCCTACCTTTGTCATCTGCGAATGAAACCACGAGTAAGAGTAGCAGTGATAAAAATGAACCCTACCCGACTGAGTGCCCCTTAAGAATGACTCACTATCACTTTTGATACTGTTATCAAGACCATTTATCATTGATATTTAAAGCAGTAATTTGGTCGGTCTGGAAGATTGTCGGTACGTCACTACCTCCGCGAAATTTCTTACGATAACGGTGAAGAACTGGTAAAGCAATTGCAACTAGAGGTAGTAAGGAGTATCGAGTTGTGGTTGTGGCAATATCGTCTGCTTCCTCGCGTTGATTCCTAACAACTGATAGCGATCATTATCGATTTGTGGTGTGATCGATTAGATGCTCATACATAACTCTATTTAGCAATAGAGCAGATAAATTGTTGAAGGATCATGTAATGTGGAGAGTACTTTATCGTTGTGATCTCAACACTGACATAGAAGCTCTCTGTGTCTATACGTCTGTTAAAAGATTCTGAACTTTGGCTTTTTATTCTGTCTTTAATTTTCCCTTAACTTATGACGAAAATGTAGTAGGGAAAGGGAGGGCCACTGGTTCAATCGAGCGAGTGTACAATTGCCCAACGCAACTTACATACCTTAACCTAGAAAATCTAAAACTGTCTTCCGCTGTCGCCACTGATAATGATTCAATGTACGAATTCCCAGCATGGGTGCCCTTTGTGAATAGTACAGCCTCCAGAGCGCTGTTGAAACTCGTCCGGCTTTGTGTGTAGCATACAGCCGATACAATCTTTGAACCTCTATAACGCCCCATGTAGGCCGTTTCTGATCTTACAGTGCCGCATGGGAATACGTGGAGGTCGCAGATTTTCCCTGGAGGGATATCTGGAAAACCATGTTTTTTGGACCTGTGCCTTTGAAATATTTTTGTGGTGGGTAGAACCTACCAATGAATTGAAGGATTACTGTACTAAGTAGAGTGCGGTACTACTTTTTTCTATTTTTGGCTTGGTGACCGCGGTACTGCTCTTTTAATTCAGTTCGGGGGGATCTCTGTTCCAGAATACCCCATTGTCCCGTCCACGACTACTTTCTTCCTTTAACCATGCTGACCAGCTCTCGCTCCCATACTATTTCTCAGTGTGTGTCCAACGATACCTTCAACTTTTTATTTATTACAGTTAGGTTATGTCTGTGGCTTCCTAAACCCTGGCTCATGCATTCAGGACTAATGTTTAGCTCAATGGAGTAATAGAAACTTCGGTTACAGAGGACGGTTATTACGCGCCTCCATTATGGAGTTCCCAGCTCCATCTACTGTTGTTTGGACGAGTTTTGTCTTTCCATCTGCTGTTATTTGAGGGACCTCACACTTTTCCTCATCACATTGATTTCTCATCACATTAGTGTACGATACAAAAAAGCTTCGAGAGTATGCTGCTGCAGCCAAACACATTCAAACAAACTTTATCGATGTCAAGTGAATAGAAGATCTTTCTGAAGTACAACCTGATTAGGTTAGGCTTTGCAGAGTTCTGAAAATAGAAAAGATGAGGCACTATACAATTTTTTCGTCAAATATTGTTGGTCTGACTATATAGGATGATTGGCATTGTACCTCCTACGCTCGCAGCTTACGAATACTCTAGCTATTAGATATGTATAGTTTTCTCGCCTCTATGTGTTCGCTCAATTTCTGTTTGTTATGATTTGGTACTCAGGTCATCATTGATCAGTATGGAAATTTAATGTATCTTACTTATCATTGATAATTAATATTATCATTAGTGCCGTCAATATGATTTCAAACAAACACAGTCGAGAAGAAAGTGATTTTGACGCATACGATAGAAGCGGCGAGCGTGAGCGCACAAGGTCACACACCCGAATATCTTGGAGAACGTCCGTTGCGCGCGTCCGTCGAAAGTAGGTCACCCCGCCCACTTCGCGCACGGCGCATCACACTGAGGTCTCGAGATGACATTACAGTACCACCAAGTGTCATTGGAGCAAATGATCTGCATTTGTCTGTGTTATCTTCTCCTTGAACTGACTGCCGTGGACCAAACGCAAAGCGTATGCCCCACTGACAATTGCGACGTCTGTCAAATATCGCGGGCCGACTCGTCGCGTGCGACGGCTGCGGCGTGACCGAGTTTCGACGGACACGCGCAACGAAGCGCACCCGAATATCTTTAGCTACATATTATAAATATATCACTGATGCCACTATGGTGCAAAAACAGTAAGACAACTAACTATATTTTGCTATCCCGGGAAAGGTTTTCAACAATTTAGAACATGACTTCTTTGACATTACGCCTCGGAAAAAAGATTCGATCCTGCAATTGATAAATTTCTCAGAATATTTGTACAGTTTTTTTTTCAGTTCTATGTATGTACAACTACGACTGTACGACATACTCATTATAGCTGTGGAAGATGCCATCCATCTTTGCTCCGGGTAACCATGCGCTCCGCAAAAGCTGAAACGACAAATAGTATGAGGGCTACGTTAACATAGAATCAATACCTGGAATCAATACCTTGTATAACTTCGACGATAAAAGTAGGGGGATCTTATTGTAGTGATTATGAGCACGGCCATTATTTGAGTAACAAGGACCATTTCACCGAAAATCGCTAGTTCTCAACTGGAAACTGGACAATGCATTTGCTAAACTTTTTTCATAGTTCTAAAATCAGACTACCGCAAGGACTACGCCAGAAGCGAGAATACCGAACACTTCGACCTTACTCCAATCAGCCATGTTGGCTACGACGAGGTTCCCATTAGATCAAATTTTCTTTGAGACTTCATTGAGCATCGTTCTCGTTTGCCTCTCTGATTAGGTGGGCTCACCAAATAAGTAATTTTACAATGCTCTCCTGCTGCTGCTCAAGGTCCCATTTTACGCCTTTGGCACCACTATGTTTGAAACCGATATTGTAGTCTGGTTCCAAAAAAGGATAATGACAATGGTAGTTAGCGAAGAAATCTGGGTGAAAATGTAGTTGGGGGGGGGGCCACCCATCCGAAGGCCAGCATATCAAAAAATGAACTCTGTCTAACGTGTTAGC